TTGCAAGGGTCTTTTAGCAGACTGTCCCTGTTCCCTAATCTGGAAATTCCTACTGAGAATTCTCACCCAGAGTCTCATGAGATTACATGAGGACTTACTCTGTATCACATGCTGTCTTCTGACAGTGTCAAATCTGCCTCTGTGCTCTCTGCTTCCTATTCTGTGCTCCCTGCCTGATCTGCCACTGGGCTGCTTGTCCCCTCCCCAATCTGTTGCATGCCACAGACTGCAGGGGCTGCCTGTGGCACCATGCTGCAGATTAGCCACCCTACTCTAGCTTAAGGCAGTCTGGAGAAGACTGCCTGTGATCTGCTCTGTCTGCTATGGGAACTTGCCACCTGACCTGGCCCTGCTCCCAGCATGCCCACACTGCGGGGTACATCTATTCAGTACAGCAACTGCCCTGGGGGATTCTCCTTGGTATAATGTATGGCTTTTGTAGCCTCTGTAGATCAGCATCACGAGAGGTGGGGTAGTGGAGGGATACTTCCTTGTGTTTAATTTAAGCTTGCCTTCTGCCCCCCCACCCTTTTTTCTTCCTTTTTTAGTAATTTCTTCTAAGACTCTCTCTCTGTGTTACTTCCTTAGATAACAATCCTTTTTCAGAAAGGAACAGACACCAAGACATGTTTTATCTAGAACACTGCTGCTGTCTCCAAGCTATGTGCCATCACTAGGATGGCATATGGAACCTTGGTGTTGTGCTCTGCTCAAAAACAGCATAGGGGAAAATTAAAGAAAATTCCTTGCCTGATATTACAAAGCATAAGACAAAGTAAAATAGTTACCCAGATTCCAGCTGAGTTAAATATAATAAAGACAACTCCACTAACATCTCTTACTTCTACTGAAAATCTCAGCAAAGAGGCTTTCTAATTGCAAATCCTCTTTTCTCACTAACATCTCAATTGAAAGATAGACTATCAGCATCTTTGTATCTTCCAAATCACTTCCTAAAGCACTTTGGAATCTCCCATCTTAAAGCTGACCAAAATAGTAAGCCATCTTAGTCTGTGATGACTAAGCAGACGCAGCATAATTGCCAAACAATCTCTTTTACAGTGTTCACATCATCATTATAGAGGGGAATTATTACAAACAATTTTGTTAAACTAGAGCCACTGAATAGAAAAGTTATTTTTTTAAATAGCTTAGATGTATATATACTTTCCTCCTTAAATTACTTTTCAAGCTATAGTATTACACATTTCCACTTTTTTCCATGTAACCAAGCCAGTGCATTTCTTGGACATGGGGTTGTACAGTTCCTACCACAACAGGATATCAATTTATGAGGCCTCAAGACACTACTGCAACACAATTTTCAAGACAGACACAGACATTCTTTGCCCCCTTGTCTAGTTACAACTGCTAGAAGACGTTCCTATACAATTTCCACAGTTCTTTTTCCCTTTTCTTCACTGCTCTAGATTTTTTCCCTCTCCTAGATTCAATTTTCAGCCTTAATAGCAAGACAAAGCAAAAATAACTGGTCCATGAAATGACAAAACAGCATAGGCGAGAAAGAATTGTGAACCAGGCATAGGGTGTTTCTGTGTTTATGCATTTCCTAAAATGTTTATGCCTACAAGGATTTGGCTTAAGATCTTTTCTCAAGACCTGCACTCAGTCATGAAAACTAGTGCTGTGTCCACACACACATGGAGGCAGGTGTGTGTCAGGATAGCTCCTGCCACAGGGAGTAAATATGGACTAATGGGAAGGAGAGACTAGTGTTTCTATTCCCCTATTTTATCTTGGGTCACCTCGGTGACATTGAGAACATAGTTCTGCAGAGCAGGTAGGTCTCAAAAGGTTCATGCGACTGCTACTGCACAGCTCAACCAGAAAGGGGAACAAGAGCTCCAGCTGTTGCCCTTCTCATTTTTAAGGCAGGAGTATACACACAGTCTGTGCCAGAATGAAGGCCCAGCAAGCCACTAGCCTGTCAGTCACTCTATCTAAGGAAAAATTAATAGTAAACACTGAAAAGGAGAGAGAGAACTCCTGCAGGAATAAAAACTCAAGTCAAGCAATATGTTGAATACCAGACAGTATGTTGCTATATCTCTGAACTACCGATTAGCCGTTCTTGTTTAAAAACACGAATAATGCATATTTTGGTCTCTAAAACTGCCAAGGTTAATTCCAAAAGAAAAAAAAAAATCTATGTATTTAGTGAAGTGACAAAAACATTTATCTGGAGTGTTTTAGTTTCTGTTCTCCTCCAAATATGAGCTCTGCAATGGATTTCAGACACAAAGCAAAATGTATGTTCTTCAAGGACTGCCACTTACGCCACATGTCTCATTCTGGATCTGCATGGGATTAGCCTTTGGCTCCATGTCTTGCCTTTTTTGGTTCTGCTTCAGTTGATTCAAAGAAGGTTTTGTCTGTGCAACTCCAACAGTCTTGCTTGTCCACTGATCCACCAGCTTGTGAAGATCATCTGTGAAAGTTCCTTTCTTGTTGTTACTGTTGTTAGCTTGCACCTGGACCTGCAGAGTTGACTGTGGTAGGGGCTCAGGACATGTTACAAGACTATTTGTAGAGGATCCTAGAAAACCACACACAAAAAAAGTGTGTCAACTGTGTCCTCACAAGTGCACCATTTTGCTGCTTGATAAGTATTTATCATCTACAATTCAAATATTGGGTCTTTTTTCCCTTTGTCCTCAGTCCTTTCTAAAGAACATTTTTGCTTTAAGAAGTGGTCCAAATACAATTACGTGATTATATGGTCCATTTACACTTATGTGATGTCCTACCTATGCTCCAAGAATTTGCTATCATAAGTTTATGGAGCTTTCTTCTACATGAACTCATTTACTAGCAGGGAGAGAAGGGATCACCCATTGAGAGCAATGCTGATGAAATACAGCTTAAAAAAGTATTTTTTAGATAAATCACCAGAACTGCAGTTTCTCATTTTTTGAGAGCAATACCTGCATTAGATCACATTAGATGCACGTCTGTATAGTCTGATTTCAAATGACAATGAAAAATAAGCTCAGAGAACATAATGCAGGTTTCAAGTGTTTAAAGATACTGCTCAGTTAGTAATGCTTCCAAGGCTACAGAAACGTAAGAGTCTTTGTCTGAGACTACTGAGGGTTCTTACTCTGGCATCTTTTATTTTAAAAATATGCACCTCAGCAGAGCAAATGCATAGGAAAAGGATAGCAAACGAGGACACAACTGAGCTGTCAGTCTCTAACATATAGATGTGCATACAGCATCAGCACATGGTTATCAATGAAATGGAGAATTTGATTATATAGATAAAATATATATAACAGAAAAAAACCATATGATGTAAGCATGTGCTGAAGTTTTACTTCCTAGCAATTTATTATATCAAATTTAGCACTGAACAGCAAGCAAAGTTCAGAGTTCAGTATCAATGGAAAACATTAAGAAAGTGTAATTGTTTAAAGATGCATTAAAAACCCCAAAAACATTAAATTAAGCAAGGACCATCTCTTCAAACAAAAAAGTTCAGAGAATTGGAGTGAAATTATTCTCTTCACAAACACCAAAAGAACATATTTTTTTCCCCACTAACATGAATTTTCCAGCCAACAAAGTGCATTCCAAGTAAACCTACTAATATTCCTTTAGTCATATAAAATACCTACATCCACTTTTAAATGATCATGCATTCAACCTGAAGTATGACATATATATAATTCCTGCCCACATTCTTTTAGGAAAGGGACCTGTGATAAAAATACATATTTTGATGATAAAGCTCTTTAATAATGTTCTACTCATGCATCCCAAAAGGAATGAGACTGCTTTTAAGCTATAAATTCAGCCAGCAGCAAAACAGCAGTTTTAGACTAGACACAAACACTCTTATCTGGTTCTCGTTCAGCACAAATATAGAAAATCACAATTCTCTTGAAGCATGCATCCTTTCCAAAGCATCGCAGGACATGCAGTGTTATGAAAAAGACACCTGCTTACAAGTCATACATGGTTTAATTTGATGTTAGCATAAGTGCAACAGCTGCTATTTAGTCAACTAGATTTTAGCCAAAAGTTCAAAAGAAAAGAAAAGAAATCCATTTCATTTCATGCTAAATACGGAGAAACAAAAATGGGATAGTTACTACTACTGTGATCTTTGCCTAGACATAGTCGTTTCAGGGTGGACCCTACAAGGTAAAATGATACAAAGACACACAGAGTTAGGCAAAACTAAACACAACTGGTTGGATGGACAAGCTTCTGTACTTTTAAGCAATCAGAAAGTAGTCATTATGCAAAGAGGAGCAGACAGAAAGTCAGCAGTTCAGGTGAGAAAAGGGAGTCTAAATAACTGGGCAGCCCAAACCTATATTAACGTGCAGCCATACAAAACCTTTAAAGAGTATAATAGTGTGCCAAGAACAAGATTCAGTAACTTGAAGATGCATTTTTAAATGACCTTGGCTTCCAAATAGGGAGTCTTGATTCCTACTCTATTTGTGCAGGAAACAATGTTAATTCAGTTTGCGATAGGATGCCAAAAATGCTTTCAGGAACAGGCAAAGCTAGTCTGGCTGCAAAGACAAACTGTAAAACAACCCCAAAAGTCTTGTTTTACAAGTCCAAAAAGATACATTGTTCTGCAGGTCTGAGGCCAATTTTAAAGTCAGTTTTGTAGTAGGATTTGTGTCTGAATGTGGAATTCTCAACTAAAAACATCACGAACTAGCTTCCCTTTCATATCTTTTTAAAAGTACACAGTAGCAGATTTCATTTAATTTTATGTATTTTTCAGTCTTGCTATGTTACAGTCTATGTTTTATGTATTCAGCTGACTATATAGAATTATAATACTAAACATGTACAGATAGCCCTACAGGAGTGTCAGTTATTGCCAGACATGAGCATCATATTTCCTATGTCAATGTCAAATTTCCTGAAAGATATTTTGGACTTTGTTAAGAAGAATAATCTCATTATGATAGCAAGGAGATGACCAGTTGGTGTGGGGTATGTAAAAATCTATTATACACAAGTACAAATGAGCAAAATTAGAGGGCAGGGCAGGGCAGAAACCCAGATACATACATAGTATGTATGCTTTTCCTGCCTACTAGCATGGTATCAACACACAGAGCTATTGCAGAAGAGGTCCAGGTTTAAGCTAAAATTCCAAGTCAACTCCGAATCAGTCTTTGAAGCAGATACAAAAGAGAATTCAGAGTTTGAGAAAGAGGAGAAAAGAGAAAGAAAAATGTTTGTGCTTTGATATGGGTGACATGAAGAAGAGAAAGGGAATCTTTAAAAAGAGATAATTTTCATTTTATCTAAGCACAGTTGAGTAATGCTGTTTAATTAGTGAGCAAATCAGGAGAATGAGTGAGGTGCTGTCAAAGTTGAGTTGTATGCAAGCAAAGCTGGTATTTCAGTACTCAACTCTTAAAGCTTAAAAATAGGTCACATATGCACATCTCTGAAATAGAAGTTGGGTTATTTTTTTAACCCCCCTTTTTTGCTTTTGCTCTCAAAGACTTCAGACATGGTTTACCTCATGCATCCCACCCCACAGTGAGCCAGAAGCTCGCCTCACGTAGGTGCCCCACTGGTATCAAAATTAGGCTGTCATTTTGTTAAATGTCTGGCAGCACTCTGTGCAAAGCAGATGGAAGTATTTTAATCCATTTGCGCTGCTGCCTTGAAAAAATAAAAGCCAGCCGTGAACTGCTACATGTGCTCAGATGCTGCAAATAATGGTGATAACAACAACAATAGCTCAAAGATGTAAGCTTATGTACAACTTGTGGGTCAGGTCAGCTCTAGAGCCCCTGATACCATCAGAAATTCCCACGTGAGACGGTTCAGGAAATTCAGTGCCACTACTCCCATGTGCCAAGTTACTCACCTGCCTAAGGGTCTAAAAGACAAGGTCCTATTTAAACAAGACTATTAGAAGAGTAAACCATCAGATTTAGGTCCTAGGTCCCTGCCCCTCATGACACCTTCTCCCAAACACATCACTTGGAAGACACTTGATTGGAATACCCAAATAGAAAATTAATGGTCAGTCTCTCTCCCTCTTTTTTTTTTTTTTTTTTTAAAAGCTTTAAAGTAATCTCTATAGCTGGTTAAATCAAATTTAGTTGACCTCACATGAAATGCCCTATTTTATTTTGGTTTCTAAATTGAGACCCTTTATGTCTTGGCTTCGAAACTGCTGAGTTACTGGAACTGCTGTTGGTCTCAACTGATGTTAGGGATTCCCAGCATTTCTGAAAATCCCGCCCCAGTTTTCTCAAAATGGAATCCTAGCTTAAGGTAGCTTTGTTTTAGAATGAATGGTAGAGATTCAAAACCAAGAGTTGCATAAAGCTGTTTCCACTCAACAAGCCAAGTTCTAATCTCACATGTATAGCATTTACTCCAAGTATCTCAATACCGGCAGCCGAAGTGAGTATCTATAGTACATTTAGGATCTGGCCCAAACCTTCATAATCCAGGTGTCCACTAGACCAACCCTTTAAACTTAAAGGCCTGACTACATTTTTAAACCAAGAATAAACTGTTTCCTTGAGAATGAGTCCTCCAAATGCAGGCTGGAACCTGCTGAATCCTCAGGTCCTTAAAATGGTCACAGAATAGAGACAAGCTGGTGCTCCTTGTTTCCATTAGATGAAGCCACTAGACACATCTGGGATAGAGCACACAGCAATCCCAGCTCCTGGTGGCCTTGGGGACAGTTGAGGGATTAGACACAAGTTGATCTCCCATATTACAATATGATTTTCTGATACTGACCTGCCAGAGCCACCAGAAAGAGTAGTTAAAGGGGGAAAAAACCCTAACAAGCTATTAAAAAGCAGCATAACGTTTTGACAGCTCAACTTCTAAAAATAAATCATCATTTTCACAGCTGGAGTGATTTTGGATGAACATGTTTGTGCTAAGCCTACCCAAATCCTAGTAGGACTCAGAGATGGAGGTATGCAAACCCTGTCTCAAAACTTTCCCCCAAAAGAAACAAAGAAGAAAGTCCATTAACTGAGACATAGATCACCCAAGCAATGAACTGTGCCAAGTTATTTAGGCATTTGGACACTTCAAATAGTTAAGTTGTTGCGTCTTCTATCAATTTAAGCCATTACTGCCATTGATCCAAACCACTTTTTTTATTTTGCGTTAAAGATGACATTCTCCCCATTATGTCAGCCAAATGAATAGCAAATCTGTGATAAATGAATAATTTGCACAGATAAGGGCACAGCCATTAACCACCTCTGGTTTTTACTAGAAGTCTGTGCATGCAGCTTGTTTTGAAACCTTCCAACAATAATTGGCTTGATGTGTGGAGAGGTAATGTCACTTCTCACCTATGTAGTTGATGGGAGTTTTGAGGATCTTAAAAAATATTCTGTTTCTTTTAAAATTACTATTTAGATACAGAACTGGAAGAATGCATTAAAGTGGTCTTGTGCCTTTGATCTGTACCACCTGGATAAGGATGAGTAATGTGCAATTCCAATGGAGAAGTCAGATATCAATGCAAAAGGACATATAGGTAACTGAATATTTCCTCAACAACATTAGGCTTGTTAACATAATATGTAAGTGGCCTATAGTACCTGATCAGTACAACATATCTTTATTGTACAAGCAAAATCCGTTTGCCTAAAAAAAGCAGCATATCTATTTAGAGAAAAAATGTTTGAATTTTAAAATTTAAAAAAATATGAGGTTTGATTGAACTGCCAATTACTGCAGTGATCATATAGATAAAATAAAGTGTTTTATTCGAGCAGGTGCACAGTTATTTGAAATAACTTATTGGATCCTGACAATCCATTTCAAAGTATGATAAGAATCTGATAAAGCTTTTTTCTTTTTTTTTAAAACTTATTTATGCTTTGATGAACTGCTAATTGACTTCATCTCTGAGGTCACATGAGGTCATAAGAAAATAAACTGAGTAAAAGTGCTTCAGCCAGGGTAATTTATATGAAAAGGTACATGGCACTCTTCTTTGGAGTAACCAGATGTTCACACCACAACTGAGCATGTCAAAAAGAGCCTACTTTACACTAATTCACTCTAATTACCATGAAAAAAAACACTTCGAAAGCAGACTTTAAAAGACCTAGCTGGAGCACAGTCATCTCAGCAATTTCTACATGCAAGGGGCAGGAAAAAACAAAAATAAAAATAAAAAGAGTGGATATAAACAGTACTGTATATTGTTTTAATACAGCCCTTGTATGGAAGTTATACCCTTCAGTGACCTTCTAGTATTGTATCAGCTTGCTACATGCATGTCTTCATAGTCCAAACATGTGTGAAAGAGACCATTCATCTACAGAAGGTTGGATTTCTTTTTGTTGTCGCTGGAACTGAGACAGCAGACATGTATATTTGCCACATTGCAAATAAAAAAAAAAGTAACTTTTAACATAAATCACAAAGCACAAAAGCTTGATAAAGTCTAGGGTAAAATTTATCATAAGGCTATATAATAAATGATGAGATCTTCCACACATGCTTTTGGTACCCAGGCATGAGCCAAAAGCAGTGCAAAAAAGCTTCCGTATGGAAAATGAAAATAAATTAGGAGTGTCAATGATGATTATTTAAAGGAAAGAAAGAAAAAGAAAGAAGAGATGGACCAGAAGGAAAGGCATCCTGCCAAACATAACAGAGATATAAAAAAGATGAGACTGGGAAAAGGGGGACAAAAGAAAGATGAACTGTGATAAAATACAAAAGAACAAATACAAACAGATGGACAAAGACACAGGTCCACTGAGGAATCTGGTACGAGGTTTGCTACTAGATTTATAGGTCACTCTCTCAGACGTTTGGTGGAAAACCGTCCAGCCTGCAAATGAATATAAAGGGAAGAAAACAAAGACACTTATAAAGTACAAGTAGCTGTGATCAGATGTCCTATACCATCAGTCAAATCAACTTTGTTAGCTAATCATCCACATCTCCACTTTAGACTTGCCAAGGAGGATAAGTGAATTGACCATACGGGACAAAAGAATGCAGTAACAGCAAAAGAGAACAGATATTCTGTAGATTAGTTTGGCAGGAGGTGCAAGGATGAACAAGGTATTTTAACCATCACTGTAACTTTCAGCATATATGGAATAAAGATCAGTTAAAGTCTAGGGAGCCATGCACTACCACAGAGCTATCAACATTCAGGATGGATGACAGCCTTTACTGCTCTATATTTTAGTCATGATTCCAAAATCATGCAAAAACCTAACCCCCTAAAGCTGGAAATATGACATCTTGCTCAGTTAAAGTGCAAGAGAAAAACAGAACAATTATGGGGAATTTTGCGTCTACCATTACCAAGGGAGCAAGAGAAAGAAATATGAAGTAAGGGAACCAGTTAGCCATTTTGTCCCACTATGTAATTTTTATCCAATGGCAATACGACAAATTTCACAGGAGGTTAAACCAGCGGAAGCCATTGTTTAGGACAAAAGGTGTTGCTGGACTTTAGTCAACCATACACAGTTCATCTACAGGGCTTATTCATTTCATATTCTGGAAGTAGTTCTTTCTACTTTTGTTTCTCTATAGACTTACTTTTCTATCTTCCTTTTTAATGGAGAGCTAGTAACTTGGGTTTAAGGGCCAATTCTTCCATTGCTAGTAGTGGAGCCCCTCCTAAATGTTTAAGCCTGAAGTCTATGTGCTAGTATGGGCATGTGCTGGAAGACATGCTGAATGGTAGGTATGAAAAATTACCTTGACCAGAATTTCCATGGGTGCCACCTCCTTCAGAGGCTAGGCCAGAGCAGATGTCAGAAGACAGTGAGGCTTTAACGGAGCATGGCTGTTGTGTCTGAACCGATTTCCCAAATGTTGCTGATGCAGAAGTTACTGTTGCTGTTGCTGCAGGAGAGCCAGAATGAGTTTTTGTTGTTTCTTTGGGGAGAGACTCGTTGCACTCTGACAAATTACCTAGGAAAAATTCCCAAAACCACAGAATTTCAAAACCACCATAAGGAAACCACTGCAGAGAAATCAATGTAGGCTTAATTACTAATTTACCACTGAAAGGAGTAGAGACTTAAAGTGCTAAAGCACTGTATGAACTTAGCATTTATAAGGGTAAGGCAAGGATTTCTTAGGATGATATCTTTATCCCAACTATGTAGTTGGTTCAATAAAAGTCAGACAAGTTTTTGATAGCAAGACATTCTTTGTACAAACGCCTTGCATTCACAAGCTTGTCTAACTCTATCCCAAGTATATAGTTGGTCCAATAAAAAAAAAAAAAAATATCACCCTAAGAAAATCTTTTCCTCTTGCATTTCTGGACCATCACCACATTGCACTTGCACTAGCACTTATAAGAGGGGAAAAAACTCTGCATTTAAAAATATTTTACCTACACCATCAGCTTCTTATTTGTAGGATGAAAAAAATCAATTCACAACAGTTATTTACATTTTCTTAGCATTACCAAATCAGAGAGACCCAAGTATAAATTAAAGAGCAGAAATATTAAAAAAAAAAAAGAGAGAGATTTGTACAAGTGTAAGTGAGGCTATGCACTTCTGGAATGTGAAATGGACTGGCAATATAGAAGCAAAGGGAGAGAGAAAAAGGTGGTCACCAAACTAAGTTTGAAAGAGGGAGTGAAATCAGGTGGAGAATTTGTAAAAGAAATTTTGAAATTCTATTAGAATATGGAATGAAGCTAGCAAACATGACCAAGAATGGGAATTATATAAATCAGAGTACATCAGCAGTAATAATAGAGACAGGCTGAAGGATATAGCAAGGCTAAGAAGGAAGAATTTTAGTAGTCAAAAGGAAAAGTGATTAAGGGGTGAATGGGCTTGTTACAAAGAACTGCCCTTGAAAGCCACCTGGAGTCTGCAGCTGGTATAAACATTAGGGCTGTGCGAAGCTTTGGCCACTGACTTGATCTGGAGATTTAGCTTGATTTGGCAGCCAAATCTCCGTATCGAATCAGGAGACCCATTAATCTCTCCAAATTGAACCAGAAGCCTCTGAATCAATTTGGAGAGATTTGATGATTTGGCCATAGACACAGCTTATGTTTTTTTCTAGATACCTCAAAGTACCAGGGGTGGCTTGTGAGCCCTGAGATAGTAGGGCAGATGGAGTGTCCCATGGGAGCACAGGGGGTCCCCCACATGCTCGGTGTTGGACCCAGAAGTGGACCAGAAGTACTTCCGGTCCACTTCCGGGTGGGCGGCAGAGCATGCAGGGGACATCCCCACCCCAGCGATTGGTGCCTCCTAAGTATGGGGGGCACCCAAGGTCCCTCCATAGCTGACTGCCAAGCCAAGAAGGCCTGGGGAGGTCCCCCACGCAGTCAGCAGCTGACCCAGAAGTGGATCGGATGTACTTCTGGTTCACCACTGAATGCGTGGGGGACCCCCCCATGCTCTTGTGGGATGCTCCATCTGCCCCAGCATCTCGGCATTCACGAGCTGTGCCTGGTACCTCAAGGTACATAGTAAAAAAACCCACATAAAGCTATGTCTATGACTGAATTGCTGATTCTCAGAATTGAATCCTCTGATTTAGCTTCGGCTGAATCGAATCAGAATCAGTGTGTATCAAGTTACTGTCCCCTAATCGGGCTGAACCCAAATCAAACACTGCCCGCTTCGCACACCCCTAATAAACATGGGGAACCATCTTGTAGTGGGAGTAGGTCACCCTGAGCACCACTCCAGTCCTCCAATGTCTGGAATGGCTCCTCGTAGCCTTCCAGGTGCAATTAAAGGTGCTAATTGTGACCTGTAAAGCCCTAAATAAGGAATCAGCTCCTTCACAACCCATGATGATCTCTATGGTCAGCCTACAAGTACCATCACTATATGTCAAGGCCAGTTGGCAAAAAAGTGTATGGGAGGTAGTTTTTGGTAGTTGCTCCTCAGTCCTGGAACTCCCATTTGAGGCCTGCCACAGCCTGAGCCTGGACATCTCAAAGTGCTGCAAGACCTTCCCATCTTCGGAGGCACGTAGCTAACAAAGCTAGCTTAAGATGTTGTTCAGTGGGCCTCCGTATTATTTTGATCTTTTAGTTACCCTTTTAAGTCAAGTTGTTCTGTTCTCTTACTGTAAACCAGACTCAGCGGTTGTTGGGAAGGACAGCATATTAATTGCATAAATAAAAAAAAGGCACTATATGTAAGGAAAAGTACAGTGAAGAAGCACCTCACTCCGCCAGGGCTTTAGCTGTAAAAACGTAGAATTCAAGTCAGAATTTTTCATAGATTCATAGATTCATAGATTAAGGGTCG